GGAATTTTGAGTCAAACTTTCCTTCAGAATTTATGGAATCTGGCTTAGCAGGAGTTCCCACTAATGTGTACTAGATGAGGCATCATGGTGGCTTCCATCACAAAAATACAAATTTTCTGTAATCAATAGCAGCAGGAACCAAGATTTTTGCCTCATTTCTTATCATACTGTCCCCAAAGATGAGTGCTCTCAGATTAATTAATAACATGATTTTTTTTCATTTGCATCTTCAGGTCTTGGCTTCTTTGAGACTGGGACTTGCATAGGCTTGGAATTTATTGGCAAGAGTTTTAAAACAGATGGCCACATGCTTTTTTCCCCTCTAGGAAACTTGGTTGGTTGTTTGTCATCTGGTTCTCATGGTAACCAAAGAAGGTTGTTAACATTTTCTTCTCACAAAGTAAAATCATCAGAGCTGTCAGAGAGTTGCAGCTGTTTGACAAAGATTTGATCTTTTGTTGTATTTTCTATTTGTGTTGATGGACTCATGGCATCATACCTTGTTTTTAGTGAGATAAGTAAGAAAAAGGACCCCCAAATAATCTTGTTTTTGTATATGGCCTATTTAATAATTTTTCACTTCTATGGTGCCAGGGAGCCATCCATGAAATGTGCGTGAACCAAATCAACACGGAAACCATTGGTAGGACAGTCTGGTATTGGGAACTCCCAGCAGCAACCCAGTTGGTTTGAGACTGCCCACTCCATGTGACTTCCTACTCAGTGCTGTCAGGTTCAGCACTTCACTGGAGATGGGGTAACCCAATGGAGCCACACAGCCCTTCAGAGATGGGTGTGGCTTGCCAAGATGCCAATTAACCTGTTTGCAGCAAGACTCCTCCTGCTGAAACCTTATCTCTGCCTTTGATGGACTCTCTCTTAATAAAGAGATGGAACCATTTTCTAGTTGTTCAGATCCAGCTCCTACCAGGACTGGAGAACCTATCGAGAGCTCCTCTTTGATCTAATTTCTGGCTCTCTTATTTCTTTATTAATTGTTTGGGGCTTTCTTTTTCTCAGTGGCTCACAAACTTCTGAGCAATAAACCACCTTGGCCGGGTGCTCGCTGCCCCGCAATACTATGGCAAAATAAAAATTTCCTAGCAGCATCAGATCCTTGGTAATGAAGGCCAATGTTATGGTGGAGGTAGAGGGGCATGTTTGGGACCGTTGTAGATTACCTTCACATGTTACAGATTTATCATCTTGGAAATTTTCTTAAAATATTTCATTCTATTCTCAGTCAGTGATGAGCTAGGAAGATTAAAAAGGATCATAATGCCACCCAATGCTGGAATATGAACTTTCACTAACTGAAAATTGGCAGTATGTCCAACATTATTCCTTGAAATGGGGTAAAGTTTCATCTGCCAATGAACTGCTCTCACCCAATGGCTGGATCTTAGAAAGAACTACTTATGTGTCTATATGTATAAGCAGGTCAAGCTGCCGTATCTTGGGAGCCTACATTTAAAAATGTTCAATTACTGGGGATTAAATGAAAAGAAAATTAGAAATTTGTTGGCAAATTTCTGGGTTTCTTTGTATTGTCTTTCCCTGTAACCAAGAAGCACAGAGATGAGGCACAATCAGAGAAGCATAGCTATTCGTAGATGATGAAAATAGTGCCATAGTGCCACAATATAGCTACTGTCTTGGAAAATATTAGATCAAAATGTTCACTTGTATTAAGAAAATTCCTATTGTACCTATGCCCATTTTTAGACACGTAATTGTTTCCATTCATGGGTTAGCTACCACAGTCAGTGTCCTTTTTATTATTGCTGCTGTTCTACATGATCTTGTAACTTGCTTTGTCAAAAAAAAAAGTTTTCTTGTAAATTTGTGAGTGAAATATGATTCATTTTTGTTCCCAAATCAGATGTCTACAGATAAGCCAGGCCAAAGCAGCAAGAAATAAATATATTCTTTCTCCATGGTTATCTGAAAATATTGAAGGTGACGTTGGATGAGCCGTTTCCAAGGTGACTTTGATGAGGCATGAAAAACTTATTTAGTATGCTTGCCTTGCATCTGGCATCATTAAATAAAGTCTTTTTACTTATATAATATTCTATAGAATTTCTTATCACAAATTGTAAGATCTATGATAATGATGTGTAGAAATATCATTGCTATGGAGTTGTACATTAAATCTGGATGGAAGTTTTGGCAGACCTGATGCAGGTGATGATTTTGTAGGTTGTATATATTAAAAGAAACTTGCTACCATTTTATCATTTTGTGACATTTTATATCAGCTTGGGAACTTGCTCAAAGCAAATCAATACTTTCAAATTTGACTTTAAAAGGCAAATAGCACAAAGATTATAATCTTTGTAAATTTGTCCTTTGGAGTCAGAGTTTAATTCAAATCCTGGTTCTGCCACTTGGTAGCTATGTGGTTTTTCGAAAGTACTTAGCCTCTCTAAGCTTCAAGATCTCGTGTGTACAAAGGAGTGGGCATCATATTCCTTTCAGAAGGATCAGGGACATAGTCCAAATAATGTTCCAAGTATATTGCTTGATTTTTAGCAAATAATAATTTTTTTTTAAAGTTAGCATATGAAGAGAGTTAGAATTTAGCTTGTTTGGTCTTTCAGAATCAAAGATGTCATTAGTGTTAAATAAAAATTTATTCAGACTCATTAAAGATGATAAGGAAGACATCTTCAAGATGGGGACAACTCCAATGGGATTTTGCTACAGGGGTGATGGATTGAGATTAGTTTTAAATAAAGGAAGGACAAGTGGAATTTATAGCCAAGGAGTAAGATGGAGGTCAGTGGTTGAAAAATCACTAAGAGGAAACATTGAATGTGGGAGGATTCTTACAGATCAATTTGACATTATTCTTGCTGAAGACAGGCTAGAGTGATAAGGTACTGAGGATGAGGGATGCAGGAATTTGATCAGATAATAAGGGAGGGAGATTTTTTTTCCTACTTTGATGCAGCAGGATTCTTGTTAAAAGTGGATTAAGCTGACTAAAGACAGAACCTGAGGTTGAGGTTTAGTATAGAAGATGGTTCAGAGGAATCTGACTCAAGTTTGGTCAAGGAAAAAGTCTTTGTTACTGGATTTTCACAAGATCACCTGAGGGACAAATAAACCTGGAATTTGAACTCGGATTCTGAGTATAAACCAGAATTGATGAGCACAATTCTGTCTTGTGCAAATGTAGGCCATATGAATAGACTTAATCTAATCACCTCCAGTGTTTTGGTTTCCATCTGGGATGTCCTCTGAAGGCTTGGTCCCCAGTGCAAAAGTGTTCAGAATTGAGGCTTTGAAAGATTGAATCATAAGGGCTCTGACCTCACCAGTGAATTAATAATTTGATCGCATTATTTGGAGATAGTGGAAACTGAGAGAGGTGGAACCACATTGTAAGAGTGAGTCTTTGGGGATAGGCCCTTGGGAACTATATTATCCCCAGTCCCCTCCCTCCCTCCCTCCCTCCCTCCCTCCCTCCCTCTCTCCCTCCCTTCCCTCCTCCCTCCCTCACTTCCCTCCTCCCTCCCTCAATCTATCTATCCATCTCTGTCTATTTCTTTCTCTGCCCCACCTCCTTTCTGGCTACCACAGGGTGAGCAGCTCTGCTCACCTTTTCCGCCATGACGCTGAGACAGGGGCAAAGGACAGGTAGCCAGGGCAAACAGGAAATAATAGTACATGATACAGTAGGAGAGATGAGCCTAATTATCAAAGAAAAGGAAGTGGACTGCTAACACCTCCAGGGGATCTTCCCAGCAGAAGGAGTTGCTAATGATTATTACCCCCTGGGCTGCTCCTTCCTACCCTGAGGCAGGAAGTGGGCAGACAGAGGAAATCTGAGATCTATAAAAAGGCAAGACACATACCACCCCACCCCTGCTGGCACCCAGCTCTGGGCCCTTGACTTCTCTCCAGAGAAGTCCACTACCTCTGTTCTATCTCTTTCTTATATAGAACTTCTTTTCTATGCTTGCGTCAGCATTTCTCAGGTGTTTAATCTTCACCACCTGGGAATGAGGACCTGATTTCCAAGGCCAGCATCAATGCTGTGCCTCACTGCAGGCTCATAACAAGAAGCCAGCTGACCCATGGACGGAACACCTCTGGAAACCATGAGACAAAATAAACCTCTCCTCCTTTGTTTTTCTCAGGTATTTTGTCCCAGTGGCAAAAAACTTCTGAAACACCCACCTTGAAAGCCAATGGGAGCTGATCCTTGAATAACAGCAGTGGATGTGCTATGGGAGGTGTGACTCTGGCTGTGTGTGTGTGCACACACAAGCACTTTGAGAAAGAGGTAAGCAGTTCTGGTCTGTGTAAGTAAATCTGTCTTTTGGAACATATCTTGGGCATGTATCCCTCCTCCCTCATTGGTCTTCTATGGACACTTATTTATTTATCTTTAGTCATTTTTCTCTTCCTTTATAGACTCCCTTGATGATCCATAAGGACAACATTTTACAAAATATGATCTGATCCTTCAGATTATGTGCAGCAGGAGAACCTTACTATAATGTTTGAAAACAGACAAATATATAGTTTTCAAGCAGGAAACTTTTGTTTCTTCCAGAGTTGGGGGTCAAATCTCTTAAGTTGAGTCAATAAAAATAAATAAATGATTTTAAAATTCGAGACTCAATACTTCTGCAAGTCATAGTTGCATTTCCCTGTAATAAATGCAAGAGTCTTTTGTAGGTAATTGGTTATAACATAGGAGAAACAATCATTTCTTATCTCCATGGAAATCACAAAATGGTTTGAGAGTTCAAAAGCCCTCACTGGATCCATGATTTCTCTGACTGTGAAGGATTCTTAGATACTTGGCAAAGAGCCTGATAACCCAGTTGATCTTAATAAAAGTTTGTGAAATAAATAAGTAAATAATGAATTTTGGCCATAAGTTAAAGTGTCCCTGGACTTGTGTGATGGAGAAAGCTTTGATTTTTCTTTGTTCATTTTAGTTAATAGAGTCAGACTAGAGATACATGAAAGTTGATCAAATATGAATGGCTAATTTACAAACATTTATATTTCAGTGTTAGGAAACATGGTAAGATTAGGAAAACAGTTAAGACAGTACAGAATTGACTAGTTCAGGCAATGAAAACTTCACAGATTACAGTTCAACAAGATTAAATGTTACATGTAACATACATGTATGATAGACATTGCTTCTGATTTTGATTTTAACATACCATCAGTTAAACACATGAGAAATATTGACAGTTCAGTTTTGGGTTATTAAATATATAATTTTTGATAAGACATTTCAAATTACAACATATCTCAGGCAGCATGCAGGAAAAGTCATTTATTGTACATTTGTTAGGACACACTTTGCACCAACCTTCCAGTTTTTGGTAGTTAGATCAAGAGTATAGAAACCATTGAAATGATAGTATGGTCGAAATCAGCAGTTGTATTTACTGGTAAAAATAAAACTCTCTGAATTCATTTATTAAGAAAATGCACAGTGATCGTAAACTCAATTCTTTAGAAATTGTTTTTCACAATTAATTCTCATTTATTGGTGACATAGCAGCTTCAGGGAATCTGAATTCTGAGAGTTGGTTTTACATAACAGCAGGAATTTATTCTTCGGTGGGTTCACGTGATTACGACAAAGATGTTTACCATTTGAAATCACATATTATAACAATGGTACTATACAAACATCACAAATATTTGGTGTTTCAGAGTCTTAACAAATAGTATGCTGTGGTTATTTCACAAAGAGACTAGATTAACAGGCAGTGTAAGTCACATATATCTTAAGATTTTAAAAATACATTTTATACAGTAGGCTTCTAATTTCTTCACTAGCATTTCATTTTGGTGGGTTTTAATATTTTTTTTCTTCATATGTAAAGTCCTTAGAGAAACTATGAATCTCTGGCTTATGCCAAGAAAGTCAATAGGATTTATATTTTCCCACAGGAATATGGCTGAGTGTACATTGAATCACAGAATCAACAAAGCAACATCTAACTTATAACATTAAAAATTCAAATAAAGTCTAATTTATTTTAAAATACAGTAGTTTGAACAAAACTATAGTAATCAAAATTTTTATTTACAAAACAGTTGAATATATTTTTAAATGGCTAGTTCTTGCTAACTGCACAGGTTAAGTATCCTTGATGCAAATAGTCTGTTAGCCTTCTTTGCAACAGTGTTGGACCTCTGTGTTAGCTCACGTGAAATGGTTAGGTGAGAAAATTGAATGATAATTTTCATCCACTCAAAGTGCTTGAAAGGAAGATGATAACTTTCCATGTTCAACCAGATCTATCATTAATGTTGGTGCCTTTTACATGAAAGAATCAGCTAAAATTGCCCAAATGTAATTTAGTATAGTGTAAGAATTATAGGAAAGATGGATAAATTTGTCATCAAATGTTGAGATTCTAATCTAGCTTTATGCAGTTGATGTAGATTATTGTATCTCTCCTTTCTGAGGCTTCTGTGTATTACATTGGCTTTAAAAATATTTTCCTTGGTCCTTAGAAATACAAAATATTCATTTTCAAAAGATAGAGGATGATAGGGTGAGAATTTCTTACAATCACAATCTTAAGAAGTGAATCTACATTTTACAGATCTTTAAACAATTTTCTTTGGCAGGAAACTTTATAAACAACTTCTTTCACTTGTAACCTTTCAACGAGGCCATTTTTCCCTTTTTATATCAGGTATTATGGTCACTTGTTCAATACTTTAGGATAATAGGAAAACACCACAGATATAAAAATATTTAAGTTTAGCATCATTCTTTTTTGAAAGTTAAATTAAAAGTGCATTGACTCATTGATACTAGAGAAGGTATTTTACACAGGCATTTCTAACAGTGTTGCTTAAGATCATAATTTCTAGAAAATGGTCAACAACCAGGGTATGTGTATTTTTATTCCCCACAAAATTTTATCACTGAACACACTGAAAGAATGCAATGGAAACTCTTTATTATTATACATAGTGTTTTCCACAAAATTAGTAAAGGTATATACATGATGTATGTACCTTTGTGTGTGTGTGTGTGTGTGTGTGTGTGTGTGTATTGTGTACTCAAAATGGCAATTCTTACAGATTATGAGCATGAAAAACTAAAATTTGAAAAAAAAATCAGTGAATAATCTAAATGTATCACTGCCACACCACCCTTCAGGAATTTCAAAGTGCAGTGAGATTATTTAAAAAAAAAATAGCTTTAGGTGTGTGAGCAATCTTCGAGATCAGCTGGAGGAGCATTAGGAATGCTTACTACATTTTCCAAGGTAAAATCTCCTCTTACAATTACTTCCCTTCTTTCTTCTACTCTCCTCCTTTCTGTCTTTGAAGGTTATTTGTGATTTTATTTAAACTGTGAATACAGTATATGAGCAGGCTGTTCTTTCCTTTTGGGCCCTGGATGGGGAATTCATGATCACCTCTTCTGAAGAGGTTTATGGCACGATGACATGCCGCTCTTTTCTTTATGGATTGCCACTTGTGCTGGCTGAGGATTAGTTCAGTTTACTACCAAAATTATCCACCCAGTTTATCTGGTGCGAAAGAATTGTCATCAGTAACCATCAAAGGCTACTCTAGAGAGAAGTTCTAGACCTGTTTCCTACCCAAAGTCTCTCTTCTCACCTACCCCTCTGGGAATACTGCCGTGGCACAGAGCCGTGCTTTGTGCATCTACGCAGTATAGACTGCATGCTGGTTCCTTCCCTTGCCCTTGTCCAGAAAGCCACAGATGTCTGCTGGGTGTGAGCTTCCTCCAGTCTACAAGAATTAATAGATGAAATCCAGGGAAGTTCTGTTGTAGTAACAGTTGTGCCAGCGATTGTTATTATGGCTTTATAGGAAGAGTGTTGAGTTGCACCACTGACCTACAAACATCACGGTGAATGGCACTGAGAGGCAAAGCAGTTGAAGGATTAAAAAACAATCACCTTGTTACCTTCTAAGATCCAGGCCTTTTCCTTGAACCACCATATAGAGGTCTTTAGAGTATGTAACTCCTCCCATCCCCCAATCTTTCTGAGAGGAATTTGAAATCCAGGTTTGTTTGAAGATGTCAGTAATACTAACCATGGATTATAGACAAAGAAAAACTGCTGCTGTCTTCACTTTGGAAACTACTACAAGTTGGGAAGGAAAGCAAGGCCTGGGTCTTTTGTGATGGATCTGAGAGAATTCCAGTCCATTGAATCCAGCCCCTTCTGCTTCAGAGATGCATTTCCTAAAGTCAAGGAAGCCTGACATTGGTAATTATTCTAAGAAGTCATTTTTTAGTGAGGTTTTGACTTTGAGTGAAAGAAAGGATGTACCAATGGAGATGTGTGTGAGATGGTGGAGACAGAGAAAGGGGGACTGTGCTTTAGTTGGAGCTCTCTGGTGATCAGGTGTGAGAAAGAGTGGTAAAATGAGGGTCAAAGAGCCACCAAGAAGATGCACCCAGTCATAGCAAATGGACACACGGAGGCTTAAGCTCTGAATAGCAACAGGAGAGGAAACGTGAATTTTAGAGCAGGTAAAACACAAGTACATGAGTCAGTTATCTAATTCCCATAAAAAAAGCAATCATTTCAAAATATCAAACAAGCTTGGCTCTTGCTAAAGGAGGACTGGAGTGCTAGCCATTTGCATTTCCCCCCCCCCCAAAATATATATCATGGTGGAATTTACATTTTAGGCTTCCTTATACACACCTTGAATTACATTTCTGGACCCAAAGGAAGGACCATATACATATAGGCATTTAAAGTATCCATAAATGTGATATTTCAGGTTGAATTTAAGGGACATACACAACCCACAATCTTAAGATCCCTTTGTTAAGTCATTTTTATAAGCAAATTCATTCATTTGTTGACTGTACACTCCAGTTCTCCCAATGTAAATGAGAGAGCCTAGAAAGGAGGTCCCAGGTGACTTGGATGATGTCTATAGATCTATGGTTTTCAAGCTTTGTGAGCCATGCAAGTCTTTGAAAACATCTTCTAAAAGAAAACTCATGTTTATGTTAGCATACACACATTCAAACCAGTAGTCTGTCGTTAAGTAGAACTAGATACAATAATTATTTAGCCTTAAGGCATATGGGCAGAACTATTGATTAACAGGAAGATGTGCAAGGTCATTTTCTAGACTCTGGGGCAGTCAAGTAAAGCAGATCAGCTGCTGCTTTTTTTAAAAGCACTGAAAAGACGGATCAGAAATCTCTGTGATTGAAGAGACTACCTTAAGCCCAGTTATACCGGGGGAAAAATAAACAGTTGTAAGAATTAATTTTCCTTCAAATTATATTCTGAGTCTAAATGGTGGATGTTTCTCCCCATATATCTGATCAAATTGTACCTAGAATGAGTTTACAATGAAGCTTTCAAGCTTCTTCCTTGGAGCAAGCAGAGTTAAACAGTGGGTGACATTGATTATTTTTGGCCATACAGAACAATGGTTTTCAATTTGAGCATGCATCAGAATCATCTGAAGGACTTGTTAAAATCCATATTGCTGAGCCTAATCTATGAATTTCTGATTCATGGATTTTTCATGGGGTCTCAGGTGGGACTTGATAATGTGCATATCTAACAAATTTCTAATTAGTTTTTCTGGAGACCAAACTTTAAAAATCGTAATTGTAGCTTATTCTAAAACACACCATATATCACCTTAATTGCAAGTGGAACATGAAGGTAAAATGAAATGTCCCCCCTAGAAATTCCTATAATGCTAGTTTAATTATAGAAAGTCTTCAGATTCAGAAGTCTAAGAACCATGTCAACTATAGAATAAACCTGCAAATAAAACCTGATTCAAATTTACCATCAACCTATGACATCCCTATAAAACAGAGAACATGATTTTTATATTATTAAGTGTGAGTTCCTGCCAGGCTATTTAAAAAAATTCTATGACCTCTCTTCATAGGATATTATTTTAGTAATAGCACTATAATTCTCTCTTGCAATGTAGGTGATATTCTCCCTCTCACCTCAGGATGATTCACATAGCAACTAAATTTGTTCAGCTTCTGGATTGAACTCAAATGTGTTTGTTGACTTTTTCTAGTGAAGGCCTTGTTAAAAGTTTATCAAATGCAAGACTTTCATAAAAGACTAAACAGAGGGAAGACCATCAAAGGACTGTCCATGAAAATTCAGTTGACTAAGAATTAAATTAATCATGTCGTCAGTAGTTGATTTGACTGGTAGATAGACCTGGACTCATTTAAAAGATGGGACTGGGGCAAGGAGTTGGAGAATGAAAAGGCAGCTGCCTGTGTGGAAGGTAGGCTGAATCTGTTCACAGGTTCTCTTCCTTAAACAAGCACCTGCCATTGATTGACAGCACAACCAGGATGGCTCAAGGTAGTCCTCAGAAAACACTGAGGGTGCATATTTGTTGAAAACAAGACAGAAAAACCTACATTTTCAATTTACTATTTCTAATCAAATCTGAAATGGGGGTCAAATTCAATGTGAGGGACTTATTGAAAGACAAAAATACAATGTCTACTGTAACTAAAGAAGAGTATTTTTATCCCTAGGTGGCAGTCCCAGAAATTATTACAGTTATAACAAAATATTATCTATTTTAATTTTCTCTCTTAACATTGAAGCATACAAAATCACTTTATCTGTTGTGATGTCAATATTGTTAACTTTCCCCCCTTCCAAATTTGGCTTTGTGCCTTGGTGCTAATCAAGTTGGAATATATTACTGCTGTGACATTGAAATGTTTTTTTGCCATTTCTGATGACATTCCAACTGGGATTCCTTCAAGGGAATGCTTACATTCATTCCCCTAACACAGTCATTGTTGATACAAGCAGAGTTCACTTTGATTGCTTTTTCTTTCTCTTGCCCATGAAAATTTCTACATTCTCTTGCTATATTTTCTCTGTGTTCAATTTCATTTTGCTAATGAGGCATTTGGGGTATGGCAGACCAGATGATTGCTAAGGGTGTGATTTAAGTCTTTTTATGAAATCTTCTTGAGTAGTCATTTTCTCCACAACAAAGGAGGCATTTAAAAAACAGTTGAATCTGTAGCAAATGATATCCTTTTTCATTTTCCTTTGTATTGTACCTTTAAATATCTTTCTTCCTGGTCATTGCACATCCTGTTTATAATTCACATGCTTTTGTAAAATAATTGCTGTCAGTCTCTTTCTCTTAAAAGGTTTTCATCAAATACAAAGAATAAAAAATAGAAGTGGAATTATTGTGGGAGACTGTGAACTCACAGTTTATCCTTTAGAAGAATAACAAATTCAGTCTTAAGGTCACTGATTTGAAATCCATTTCAGTCTTATCACATTTCTTATTGGATGTTTCTTCAGATGGAAGAAATCCTTCACTCTCCTCAGGAAAAGTTTTTTTTTTCCAGCAGTGTACAAATATTTAAAAATAAATCTTTACTTTTTTACCAGACTTTATGGTTTTATTGTCTTGACACTTGCTCTGGTAATCAACTATGAGGGGGAGCAACTCGTTCATAGCCTACAGCACCTTCAACCCAGACCCACAAATGCATGATAACAAGGATCATATGGAGTTTGATATGTTCTGGAAAATCGAGCCAAAGGCCAAGGCTCTTCATGTAATGGTGAGAAAATTCAAGTCCAGAGAGATCTGCAAATTCATGAACCTCTGAAACTATTACATGACCATTTTCAAAAGAGAAAAGTTTCAGGTCCCATTCCCTGGTGACTTTTGGTGTTAAAATGAGGAGAACCTTATCTATTCAGAAATGAAGGCTGAGGTCTTCTCTAGCTGCTAAAGTACTAATTGGAGTTTTAATTAACTGAAATAGAGCCAAATGCCTCAAATCAGAGGAGCAATAAGCAGAGTTAAGAACATTTAGCAGTGACTTAGTAGCAACACCCACTAGAAAGAAGAAATTCAGCAATGATGAGGCAAATTATCTTTGTAAGGGGCTTTTCACAGCTTGAAATGTCACTTAAAGGACTATATGTCAAACTCACATGGGATTGGTTGGCTCATGGATGATTCTGGGATGTGTTAATAGAGTCTGGATCCATTCATCTTGATGTGAAGGATGAAATTAAGGAACTTAGTATTAAGAAAATTAGTATTTCTAATTTTATTAAAGGGAAGTTTCTTGATAGGTTTTAGAATAGCTTTATTAAGCAGTTGCAAATTGATAAAATATCTCTAGATCAAAATGAAAGGTTAACGTAGTTAGAATATCATACTTAGACCCTTTCTGATGAAATCCAGGTCTGGTGTTAAGTGTTTTCAGTTACTATGTCTTGAATTCTTCATACCACCTTAGGATGCCTCATACTATACTCGAGGCAACTTGAGCTTTATGGAATTGTGTATCAGAAAAAATATAATAGATTGACATCTGATTTTAAAATTGCTCTACCACCTTGACTGAGTTGTTGTTTTGTGGTGGTGGTGGTTGTTTAAGTTGTAACTGAATATAAGGTGATCCTGGAAGACAGAATTGCTAAACTCACTAATTTTCTGCCCTCTTTCTGATTCTTTTTCCTTGGGTAATTTTCTAATTGATATTTATCTAGCTCCAGTCACTTTAAGAAGGCAGTTTAGTGAGCACAAGGTTAATATAGAGACAGAATGATGTGTAATTTTGTACAAAACTCTGGATCCATCAAAACTTCTGGATCCATCTGGTACCTGCCATTTTCTCTGCTTTTCTAGATTACAGGCTCTGGAATGGCTGTTCTGTTTCTCCTGGGAGAGTGGAAAATAAAAGGCAGAGACTAGAGCTATGTCAGAATCCCCCCACAGAAGAAATATGGAAAATATTCCACTAGGAACCAAGATAGATAAAACTTATCAGGAAAAGCAAAATATGAAGAAAGTCTGACAAAGCCCTTCCTCCTCTAACCCAGCAGCCTTGCAGAACCCTCCTTTCTTCTCTGTTGTTTTCAAATATCATTAAATACCTCATCAGTTGCTTTAAAGGAACCCAAAAGAGTTCTTATGTTTTCACAAAACCGAGTTTTGGGTAAAGGCTCAATATTATTATGCATGAATCTGATGTTAGTTTATGGAAGGTCTGAAGAAGTATGGTTTAATTCTAAGCAGTGACAAAGAAATTATTTTCATTTTACTAATGATATGACTTCCAGAGTTGGAGTGTAAGAATATTTTCGTGGGAGGAAAAGAAAAAGCAAGTTCAGAAAAAGAAAAAGTTTAGAATTTTCATTGCTAGGTCCAATTCACTTGGCTGTGCTATTCTCAGTGTTTTTAAAGATTGGTTCCATGACAACAAGTTTGGAAAGAAAGGTTTGCCCTCATCCAGACAACAAGCATGTGACTGAACTATATGGAAAAGTTAAAGTCACACCCAAGACACTGGCTCAGAGAAGAAAGGAATCACTGCAGATAATACATCAAAGGAACAAAATACTTCTTGCATTGTTCTAATGCCCACAGACCAACTCCAACAAGATAGTAAACTGGGTTGCCCATATAGCCTGGGGATTGACAGATGTTTTGCCTAGTTCCTGAACCCAGGTAGTAACTGAATGGTGATGTGGTTATGACATTAATAGTAACCTGTCTCTCCTGCCCAACTGCTTATTTGCGTCTAGATACTGTGTGAATGGAATAAGGGAAGCTATGGTTGGGCACTGACAGGTTGCTAAATTCTGTGTCTTAGTAACTGTCATACATTTTCTGGGTAGCTTTGCAAAAATGCAATCTTTGCCTCAGATTTGGCATTATAAACATCCCCATTTGTTTTGAAGTTTTAAAATGCAAACAAATTTTTAATGACAAGCAAATTTAGCCCATTTTGAAAAGAAAAATGACTCTTCTGCTTTTGACTATTCTCTCACTATTTGCAGTTGTTTCTGAAGGATGTGCATAGGGATTAAATCAGAAGTAAAAGGGGGCATAAAAGAAGAGTTGCTGAGTCAACCAAGTGCTCACAGCTTCTTTGGGTTCATTTCTCAACAAGATACAACCAGTTATTGGAAAAATTCCCATTTCATTTTGATTAGAAGTGTGCCTGTTTTAAAAAAAAAAGAAAGTAAATCTATGCAGATTTGTAAGAGCAACTTGAGAATATCAAGACTAAGTTTCAAAAATATATTTACCATAATATCATCTGAGTCACAAAGGATTTGGAGTGTTAGATTTCTTATAAGATTGCTGATGGCAGCAGAAACCCCATTCTCCTTGGAGTTTTGGATGGAAACTTCAAAGACAAAATTTTCTTGCAAATTTAACAATAATAATTGTAGCTAAAAAAGGATAACTTTCAGTTTTTATATGATGTTATCCTTGCTTAGATCCAATATCAAAAAAGTTCTGTTGATGAAATAGCAATAAGAGTCTTTCCACTATTTCAAAGGGTATATGTCCCAAATAGAGTCCAATATGTAATGTGGAAGATGGTCAAATGGGTTCCAATGATTTGGCTCCAATATTATGCCCCCTCTACACCCAACTCCTTACCCTGACAAGATTCCTTAGAGAAATCTTATGTGTCAACTGGTTGAAAGGGCAGTTTGCCTATTAATAGGATCTTGGAGGGAAAATACTAGAGATAAGCCAATCAGTATATATGAAAGTTAGGAGCTGATTCAGTTGAGAATATCTCAGCTAAACTAGAGCAACATGGTATATGTCTAGTGTCTGTGGCAGGACTGGATGGGACTACATTTTTTTTTTCTCCCAGCATGTTAAAACACCTTAGAAAATGTCAACTGATATATGGTTGCTGCCTGCTCAGGGCTGTGTTTCAAAGGAAGATATAAAATTTTATCCTTTTACTCCCAGAGTTTGACCTTGACCAGAATATCCTTGTTTCAAGAAGTGTTTTCAATATCTCCACTTCAAAGGCTGAGGAAATCCTAATCAATCTTAAAGACTTTCTAACAGAAATGCTTGCTAAGTAAAAGGAAGAAAATATATTTTTTTCTTTTAAAAATGAATTTCTGTTTTGGAAGGATATATGTCATTAACATTATTTGAAGCAGTTTTTCAAACAACCACATTTTGCATTTAATATATATAATCAAGAATGTGCTTCCATCCATGCCTCTCTACCTTTTTCCAATTACTCAAGAGAGCTGATAAAAAGGAACATTAACCTGACATGAACTTCTGGACAATTCTAGACATCCAAAATGTAGTTCAGGTCATTTGACACAAGTAATAGATTTCTGTTTTTATATATGTATTTCTATAGTCTAGGAGAGATGGGATAGAGGGGATCTAATCCTGAAACAATGTCTGATTCTCAAGAGAAAGAACAACTAGCATTTCAAAGATTTTCTGTGTATTTTTGCACAAGTTGAAATGGAAATTTTTGAAAGAGAAAAGATTAAGAACAACATTTACATTTGCTGTGCCTTAAAAGGCCAGTGTTTCAGAAGCATTTAACTATTGATAGAGCTGTCTGGGATTTGTACTTTATTTGGACTAGTCTCAAGTTCAATAATCCATCTAGTATTGATTATTTAAATATCAAAATTCTGAAATGAAAATAACAATATCAGAATGGTGTCTTTTAAAAATAAATGAAAGTATTAAGTTATCAAATTATCAAGGTGGGCAATTTAGAAATTTTATGGCTTAAAAATAATGGAAGGGAAGAAATTATTGAAGGCATTTTGTAATGACACATTGTATAAGTTCAGTGTATTCCACTAAATTACTCAATAAAACTGAAGTGTGCCAAAAGGATACTTTTCATTGGTTGTCAAAGCTAAATATTATATATGTCCAGATTCAATTTTCATAAAAATCCTAGAATATAATATTAAATCTTACAGTTGTCTCTTGAAACTGGGAATACATCTTAATTTAATGTAATAACTTTCAAATATCCCAGACAACACTAATATGTGATGAGATACCACTTAACATGTTGGCTTCATGCCAAATTCTCTCATTTTAAAATATATTCTTGCCAACAATGTAGATAAGTATCACCCATATCACTATTTTAGCCATATTCATTATTTGAAAATTGTTGGAATTCAAAATCTTTCACAATTTCTTCTTTGGAGTATTTTTCAAAATGAAATGCAAACATGAGAAAGGTATTCAATATTTTTTCAAAGCTAGGCATTTGGATCATATCAGTTTTATCTTCAACAGTTTGGTTTGTTCCTTGTTTTTTTAGGTGAAATATTTTGAAAAGTGCTTATGTATTTGTTTAGTAGAATTGTTTTTTGTATTGTTCTTCACATTAGAGAGTGGGTCAGTTCCAACCTACAATTCCAGATTTAGAAAATTCTCCATAGCAAATTTCTCTTTTCTCATACATGGCTTCAGAGGGGTCTAATAAAATGTTCTGTAAATTAAAAGTTATTTTGGAATGTAGGGACAGTTGTCTGAAAAAAAAATCTCTAAGCCCGATCTTTTCAGATGAATAGATAATTATAATAAACAGGGCTATATAATCATCCTAGTACATTAATTTCCCCTTCCCCCAGTACATTCTTAGATTTGGCTAAATATAGCCATCTTTGCAGTCAGAAAATTAGGAGGGTTGGGTTGTGTATTAACTGTCAAATTTGGCTCAGTAACATTGATGTTAGCTAATTATTCTCTTGGTGTTTTTGGTTATTAATGTGAATCTTCCTACCATTTCATATAATATGAGAAGTATTTGACTCACTGATATTTCTTAAAGGCACAGAAGCCATACATTATATTTTTCTATATTTATATATTTCACCTTTATAGAAATTCTCATGGAGCCTGGGGCTGGGTGTGTTGTTGTTTGTTTCCAATTTATCTCTGCACATACTGATAGAAGACCAGGTAGATGGGCAATGTGACATGACAAGTGTGATTCAAACAGGGATGAAATAAATAATACTGCCATAGTATGCAACTGTAGGGCATAACTTATCCTAAACATTTGCAGAGATACCATACTATGTTCTAATGAATCTTTTCTAGTGAAATGTCATCATGTTTAATTTTTCCTATGTTAAGTTCACTTTCACATTCTCTAACCTGTCACTTTTAGCACAAACCTTTTCCCCATTGTGGAGAATTACCCGTGAGCATCACTAAGGGCAACCAAATGCAGTGGAGTAGCTTAGTGGAGGAATTGCAAAGATTGACAGTAGGGAAAGGAAAGATTAGATGATGAAATAATGCTTTTTCCTAAAAATAGTCATTTACAAAACCACTGATTTAAATGCTCCTGAGATTAAATTAGAGGACCTTTGACAAAACTGAAAATTTGGAGAGCTTCTGAGTGCATCATGTGGACATCTTGGAAGGCAGAGAAAAGTCACAGAAAGCTGCATACTTACCATTTCTTAGGAGCTCGAAAGCTGAAGCATTCTCTCCCCACCTCTTGGTGGTTGCTCTTTCTATAGACAAGACATTCTCTACTTTGGGAGATGAATAGCCATAGGCTGATTAAGCTTCAACAAATGAAATACCTATTTCAGTTGTTTACCCTTCCCATGCTATCCTGGCAGGTGGAATACCATCAGGGCCGCCGGATGATGTTGGCTGGGTGATACAAAGACAATAGATGTGGCAAGGAGTGAAAAGTGCATAATATTAGAAAAGATTAGCAGAAAGACAACCCATTAACACAAATCTGCCGGTAGATCTGAACAAAAGCTAATGAATCCATTATTAACATGTTTCTTTCTCATAAGACAAATACAATTTTGTATGTCTCTTCTACATAATGAACTCACTTATTTGTCAAATGAAATTCACATTTATCTCTGCTCAATTTTGCCAGCAGCTAGAATGGCTTGGCCAAATGGAATGATTTTTTACAAGCAAAGCTGAATCCCAGCAGCAGGTGAGGATGAGATCCAACACTGTACGTGGTCAACCACAAAATGGCCAAGTGTTCCTGAGGTCATGAAACTATACTCAGGACTTGCTCTGATGCAACTGCCTATGATCCTAGAGACAGGAGATCAGAATCAAAAGAGAATTTCACATCTTTAGACCTGCAACAGCAAAAGAAGTCTTAAGATAAATCAATGTTTCTTGATTTACGTTCTTGAAACGGGAAGTTTTATCACCATTAGAAAGCAAAGGGCTTCATCATCTACCAGAGAAATATTTCCAATTTTTTCCAAAGTTCTCCGGGGTATGCAGAACAAACAGTCAATTTCACTTTAACAGGTTAAGTTCAGAAACCTGGAGCTGCAGAATCAACAATGAGTCAAGCCAGATGTAGAAAAGGCCGAATGGATAGTGAGTTTTTCTAGGTAGACACTGTTGGGAGGGGGCATTGCATCAGATGACAGCAACTTATCAGAATCTTTGTAGGATTTCTTTAAAAAAGCATATTATGTAATTTAATATATTTGAAAATAATAATAAAAATTAGTGCATTTATGCTGCAAACTATAAAAAGCAAGTTTTATAAAATCTTCACTGGTAGATATATTTAATCAGAATCTTTGAACAAGTTAAAATTTGCTCATAAGAAGTATAGAATTATTGGGCCACAGCATTTTGCCAAAGGTTGTTAAATGGTCAAGGGTTCTCTGTTCATCAAATTACTCATTTGGCTGTTCAAAAAAGTCTATTCTGACTGCTCCTTTTGTGTTAAACTGAAGATTTGTACCCAGAAGAGATATCAATTTAATACATATCAATTTTTTGTTTCAAGAAAACATTTAAATTGTACATTATTTCCTTAACACATGAAAATGTGCCACCTATGACCATATAATGTGATAATGAATTCTATGGAAAATTTTAGGGATGGATGTTCAGATGGATAATGTATCATTTATGTGTACCCAGTGCACATATTCTATTATAGTAAGAGATCACATTTGCTCCCCAAATTATTATTCCATTTGTGGTGTCATCTCTTCCTTTGCTGTTTTGATTATATGAAATATGAAGTCAATAACTTATAAAAATAGTCACATTATTAGTGAAAGGGAAAAAAAAGTTCTCCTGGGAATGAAAAGGAATACAGTGTAGTATACTGAAAGAAAAATTTACTTCGGTGTCCCTTGGGAAATAATTACACTTCCCATGATCAGTTTTATTTGGGTTGAAGGATTTGATTTAATACACTGCATGCTAAAAAGCTGCCTGACTTGCAATTGTTTTGGGCTTCATTTTCTTGGAGGCAGGAAGGATGAAGATAGAATTGTACTAAAAAGATGTAAAAAAAATAGTGAAATGGAGGAACATCCAACATTTATCTCAGCATTATAGGACAGACAAATATTCTGGCTCTGTGTCCTCTTGGGACATTAAAAAGAGAATGTTGCATTACCATAGGGTTGACATTTGCAAGAGTTTGAATACTGGGTGTCTCTTTCACCTGGATGAGGATACCAACTGCACAATTATACCTTTTTGGTTTTTATTTCTTCAAAACATGAAAACAAAAAGATGAAGTCAATGACAATGAGAAGAGAGAAAACACTGCATACAGACTATGCTGTATCACTAGTGATTAAATCAGAAACAATTAGAAACTTTATTGGTCTGTGTCAATATGTGTACCATTTATAAGGAACAGCACAATTAGTGCATTTCCCCCCTAAAGCTGTGCACAATACACACAAAATAAAATAATCAAACAAATCAAATGAAATAATTTTACACAACTATAATAATAACAACCCTGAATAATGAGAATCGTATTTTCTCTATAGCATGAAAACTGAAAAGGCAAACAAACCAAAATGTTTCAAAATTGAAATCCACCAACAGCAAGAATTTCTTAAGGGTTCTTTTAAAGTGAAGATTCACTAAGGGGTTACTGACATTCCAAATATGGCTAGAAATGAGTGCAAAATCTTTCTAAAGTTTAAATACCTGTATCCCTTCCCTTATTTACTTGGTGTTTCTAGGCTAGCTTTCCATTTTTTAAATCTTGGTTGGGGGGTGGGAAGTGGGTTAGAATGTGTCCCTATAGCAGTCACCAGTGTTGGTTGTCAATGACAGGTCAGAGATGGGTCCTGGAAAAGTACTGTTGCCACAATGGTAAAAACTGAGGTTAACTGGGTCTGCTCAGTGATGTGCATCACCACATGATTGCCCTTCTTGGTTTAAAATGGGGAGACACATGTATCTGCAAGTTGGCCAAGCATAAGGAGGGTGTTCTTCAAATCTAAACTTTACATCTTCTTAAAGACAATCTTTGATATTCGGACAATTTTATCTGTACAATTATGTGTTCATATTAAACATTTTCATAATTGTGTTCATCCTTGCAAGATAAAACTGTTCCCATATGGTTGTGTTAACTTTTACTCGTGGAAATGGTAATTGGATTCTCTGTGTACCCTGCTGAGGGCAGGAAGCTGGGCTGCCTTGGTCATGCCTTGGGCCCCAGGAAACAGTATTCTACCTGGCCTGTTGAGTGGACGACCAGCATTTCATTATTTACTCCATCACCAAGCATTTAATAAATGGTGAATGGTCATGATTACTGAGTAGAGGAAGAGAAAATAGACCTCAACAATGTTTCTTTTTTTTGTATCTTTGAATGAATACAGAGGGCCAGGGATGTCTCCGGCCTGGATTTCCTTAAGAGACTGAGAAGTCTCTGAGAGGTGAACAGTCATTCCAATTTTACTCATTAGTGGAATCACTTTTTGGAATGTTGGGTTGATCTACACTCTTTGGTATTTTGAAATAGAAAGAGCCATTCCTTTTCAAGGGTTAAAACCTCCCAGTGCAATCCTCTGGGAGACACGAATCTCATTTAATTACCTTCTTTTCATCATAAGTAGAGGAGAAACACTTAAAGGCCCATTGGTTATCTTGGCTTCTTTCCTACTTGGGAACTACTGATATAATCAGAGGAGTCTGGACTGGATGGTGAAAGAAACAGGACTCAATAATGCCTTTTACATAAAAAAATAAAATGAACAGACCAGTGCCATCTAACATCTGTGCCAGACAGAGCAGATGTGCAATAAATACTTTGGGGGAAGGGGTGTTGTGGACATGGTGGTTCTGAAAGCCAGGCATATCCCACGTATTCACTTCTCTCCAACACCTTTCTCTTTGGCCTTCCTGAATTAATGGGTGATTCACAGAGGCCTCCGATATGTTCCACGTGGCTAATTTTCCATAAAGATCTTTGTAGGTTGCCTGCTAGCCTCTCAAAAACTTTAGCTTTTCCCCACAAGACTGTTATTGCTTCTTAGAATGAATGTGCATGAAAAAATGAGCCATTTTTCTCCTTTTATCCCTAGTAATAATCAAACTCAATAACAACATGAAAGCAACAACTCAGGTGAAAAGAAAGCTCACTTATGTCTTCAACGTCCAATCAACGTTGCTGAATGGGAGAACAGTATATGCTATACTCTACTATATACAGATACACTTTGTTTTGTTTTGTTTTTCATCCATGCACTGTGTAACAGGTATCACAACAACATTCCCAAACAGGCACATGAAGAAGGAGCAAATGTTCGGTAGCGACTGGGACTGGATTGTGCGAGCCACGGATACTTTTGAAAATAAAACTGACGGACAATCCCAGGCAGCAGCAGCAACATGGGACTGGGACACATATACTGATGCAAATGGAAAAGGATGATGTGCTTTTTGAATGGGATTGTTCTTCCTGTTCGCATGGAGAGTGGGTAGGCAGGAGGAGGGCTGGGATGGGACACCTGGGGAGTTACCTGGGTTGGAATGAATAGGGCCTTGTGAATCACAGTCCAGAGTTCAAGAGATAAGAAATAAAGGGTTTTGCATGTTCCTGGGAATCTAGGCACATTATCCTTGTACCTGTTGAACAAGAGTGCCAGGCACCACATCCTTCAATAATAGACTATATCAAGAACCATCGCTTTTCCTGGCTCCGTCCCAGCTCCCATGCTTCTTCTTGGAGGCAGCGTCCGTCTGCTCACATTGTGGAGAGAAGCATGAAATTTGGTAATCGAGTGAAGATGTGCTGTGCTTCTTTCTTCTTCCACGCCCAGATCCTTTCTTAATCCAAAGTCATTTTTTAAAGTGTTTGGAGGAGGCGAGGGAGGGGGTATCTTAATGATTTCAATTTTTACCCCAAACCCATTTACATTTGGATGGGTTATCACCTCTCACAAAGGGAAGCGAAAACCCTGACCCTCCCAACAAAACAAAACAAAAAGCAAAGGCAAACATCAGCCACCTCCTCAACCCCACTGAAAACAAAACAGAAAAACAAGAAAACAAATCAAAGCCTTAACAATTTATGAACCTGGAGAGAGTACAGCTCTTGTAGGCCGAGCTGCAAATATGGCCCTGCCTCTGCGCCTTGTTCAGCATGATTATGCCCCTGGGAATGGGAGGTGATGGTTTCTGACTTTGGCCCTAGTACAAAGTATGCTCTTGAAGCTGGATTCCATCAGCAGGTAAGTGAACATGACAAATGTCAATTTCCTCTGTTCATTATACATAATTTTTATGTATATATATATATGCATATATATATATATATATAAATTTACTATATTTGATGTTCCTTTAGAAGCCTTTTATGTGGCAGTAGGCCTCCAGGGAGGAGAAGAAAATGTACAAGAGCCACAGGAGCACAAAGAGGGAGGATGTAAGGAGCTTGGCAGTCCGGGGCCCACCGAGCTCACCTCCGATTTCTGGTCTCCGCCGATACAGCAGCACCCCCACATTGATGAAAGCAAAAATGGTGAAGAGAGTGACAGAGAAAGCTAGTGTGCCAGGAGACACTTTGAACTGTTCCCCATTGGCTGCGTGGTAGATGGCAGCGATGGACCAGGCCACGCCGATTCCCAGGAAGACGTTCACTGCATTGCTGCCTGTGACGTTGCCTATGGATGCATCAGCATACTGGTCCTGGGTGGCTGCCACTTTGCTGGCAAAGGTGTCTGTAGAAGAAGAACAAAAAAAAGCAATGACACTCAACCTTTTAAAGATGTCCACAGAGTGCTGGGAGCTTCTAGTGTGGGTCTAGAATGAAACTGTGGTATAAACCCAGGAACCTAGAGTGGGCTTTGATGTTCCTTTGATTCACGTGGTGAGAACAACAGGATCTAGATATCAGGAACCAAGGGCTTGGTGCTGTCTATGTTACTGAAGAAGTGATATTCCTCCAGTTCTTTATCCACAGATACCAACATTTTTTGTATACTGAGCTTGCAGGGCAGTATTTTTCAGAGAGTAATCTCAGGCCACCTACACCAGAAACCAGTGGGTCCTTCTATGAGGTGAATGTTATAAGCTGCATTGGGTCATAATCACTGGGGCTGAGGAATCTATTTTAACAGTATCCCTGAAGATTCCAGGTCACTACAGGTGAAAATGGGTTCTGGTAGGGATTACTAAAAGATGCTGTGTCAGCAGCTCTTGTTTATAGATGAGAAAGTGAAACTGTCAGGAGAGATTTCCAAAGATTCAAGAGCAAGTCAATAGCAGAATTGAAAAGAATCAAATTATAATAATAGCTGACATTTGCCTAGAGCCTTTAGGTAGGAAAGTGGATTCACCTATATGACCACATGGATTGTGACAACGATTTTATGAGGTGAAGAAATGAGGCTTAGACATGATAAGTAATGGGTGTGAATCACACAACTGCCAAGAATTTATGGAGGGCTTGAGCTCTGGTTTTCTGTCTTCAAGGCACGTGCCTGCCAATTGAACCATCTCACCTTTCTCCGTGCCATAAGTACCGGTGAGCATCCTCAAAGCTCTTTGTTCACCAACAGCCCTGAGTGTATCTTTTTATGAATATAGGGAAGTCAGGGTTCACTATTGAGGGTGGGGAGTAGACCATAGTAATTTACACCTTTTGATGAGTAGAGCACAGAGGTTTTATCTTGCCTTTACAACTGAGTGTGTGGTCCTGGGCCTCAATTCCTAATCTGTGACAATAAAATACTGATAACAACTTCAGATTGCTACTGTCAAGTTGAAATATTATGTGTAAAATGCCTTCTATGCTTCTTGGTAAGAGTAGCTCTTATTGTTGTTTTGGAAGATAATGTCAACAAGGCAACCTAGAGTAGTTTAAAAGCTGGGATAGGATCTGAAATATCCCCTTTTTATTAAGCATGTAAACAGAACTTGCAAGAAACTAAATTTAGGGCTAGAGGTGTAGCTCAGTGGTAGAGTACTTGTCTAGCATTTGGGAGGCACTGGGTTCAATCGTCAGCACCACATAACAATAAATAAACAAATAAAATAAAGGTGTTCATCTACAACTAAAAACATACATTAAAAGAAACTAAATGTGTTGTCTATGATGCCAAGATACTGGCATCAAAGTCCTTCCAATGACCTGTGCAAAATTCCTTGCATAGTGTGTTTATAGTAGATGTTAATAACAATCAAATTTAACTCACACTTGCAGTCACTAATGGCCAAGTACTATATTCTTCAAAGTGCTGTATCCACTGCTCTGGTCTTCCTGAAGCCCTAGCATGCTCTGTGCAGGCAGGTAGTTGTATACTACCTGGTCTAGTTTCTCTCCTCTGTTGTTATTCTGTTGCTACAATTGCTCCTTGGTAAATAGCCATGGGGGACAATCCACAAAGCATGAAAGTTTATACGAGCCTATAGATTCTCTACTTTATGATGGGGAAGAAAGTTATTTAGGTCGATTGGAGGCTATTGCATCTGAGTATCACATTCTTTCTGAAAGGGAATTGATCAGCCCCAAGGGCCTGTCTCATTGATTATGACCTCTGTCTGTGATGGAAAGTAGATATTGCTACTCTTTTATAATTAAGGCAATAACTGTTTATTCTATGCCAGGCACTATGCTATATAGATTTTATGTATATCCTCATTCAACCTTTCACAGCCTTAGGGACTGGGTGTTATTATTCCCTGTTTGTAATTTTAGAAACTATATCATTGTGATAGTATGCCTCAGAGACCAAGTCTTGATCAGCCAAATGAGAATTTTTAAATCAAGTCTGTTTGATTTTAGAGTCCATTCTCAGTCCATACCATATTGCCCCTCCCAGGAAGAATAAAAGTTTCCTTTCCACTTACTCCATTTAGGTTGCCCTCTTCCTTCCATTCTGAAACTTTGAAGTAGGTTCTCAACAAATGCCCATTCCTATTTCAAGAGAACAGACTAAAGAAGGTATAGGCACTTGGCTAATTCACCTGCTTGGATTTGTGCTGCTTTGTGCCTTCATGGTCACAGCTTGCAGCCTAGTAGGATTATTACAGAGACTGATGAGTAAAAGCAAAGCCAGACAAATCTTAATGGTCTCTTGCATTTCATTATTAAGAGTTCTTCAAAGGTGCTGCTGCAGCAGCGTCAAAAGGAAGAAGAAAAAAATCTTTTGCTTTTCTTCTTCAAGGACAGGCAATGGAGAAAAGAAAGTAAAAGAACAAGGGTCTAAGGCAGGAGAGAGCAGTTTACAGCTCAGCTGCTGCCCAGAAACACCTGAAACATTATTCTGAGCTAGCCCTGGCTGATGGTGAACAGATGGCCACATTAGGCAGGGCCCTTTTGGGATGTAGGTAGTCTGCTCATATGCTGTAGGGACAGGTGACCTGGCTGTTGCATCGCATAAACCTGCATATATCCCTGGCACGTGGTACAGAGCACACTGTCCTGTCTCCACTCAGAAACCCTAGACTTTCCAGATGGCAGCCTTTACCTCTGCACCAGAAGGGAAAGAGGTGTAAAGGTCAAAGAATCCTAGGTCCAGAGGCCTGAACACCCAGACCAGGCCTACACCCTGAAACGAAGGGCATACCAGGTGTGCGGCAATTTCCTCCCCCTCCAGCTATTTTTCAATAGCCTATTTATGTGAATATTACATGAAAATTCTTACTTATAAAAATAGGTTCCTATTTTCAAATGCTTTTCTCTAGAGTCCCTAAAATTTAGGAGCCAAACTGACTAGCTCATCACATAAATAAAACATGTTCTGGGCCTCTTGGAGTCTGGTAGATTTTATTTACCTGGATTAGGCATCAGCCTTTTGTCTATTTTTAGTTTCAACTCAAAAAGTATGTTTTTAAAAAACTTGTAGGAACACATGCAGATCCAAACCATTAACCTTAGCTCCAACAGAGATAACTCTCTTCTCCAAATGAAGTGGGAAGGAATCTCCCCAAATTACCTTCTATTGCTGCTTTGCTGCTTAGTGCCCAGAGCAACACATCCCATGCCATATGTTGGGCACCACCAGCTCCTACCCTCAACACTAGGCCTGGAACCTGCCTGTGGTCAAACAAGGCAAATGCCTTTTCCCAAAGTAAAATTCAAGAAGTAACTGCTTCCCGGTCTCAGAGGGATATAAACATATTCAGAGCTTGGTTCATTAAACACAAAAATAAGGGAGTCATATTTCTTACGTGATTAGCATAAATTAAGACATCTTGACAATTCAGTGTGTATGTGTGTTTGTGTATATTTATATGCACACACTATTATGAATGTCTTATATATGTATGAGTGTATGTCTCTCTCTCTATATATATATTTTTTCCCTACATATACAACCAAGGTCAGGCTTCTGATGGTAATTTTTAATTCCAACCTTGATATCTAATACATCTTCAATTAGTTTTATAGTCTCTGACTTTTGATTCTATCTTCTTGATACATATAACTGTAAATAAGAGAAAATTTGTTTAGACGGCAACATGGTTCAAATGGAGCCACATATCACAAAATTGGGACAAAATTGTTCTCTGTAGACCTGGTTCAAGTTCACTGTATATAACTTGGTCAAGTCACTTCACTTTTTCACATTACAGTTTCCTCACCTAAAATGAAGAAATTAGATTAGAAGATCTCTAAGACTCTCTCTACTCTCACTGTTTGGGTAGTCAGCAAAATACACCAGAATACTAAATCCATATATACGCTTTTGGTGCTGTTTTCTTTCTGTACAAGTTGTACATGATTGCTCTTCTTCAACAGAATTGACTAATGATATTCTCATTGAACAAATATATTACCTAAGTGAAGTATATGAAGATCATGGGAAAAGAGATTTCAAGACCTAAAGATTTTTCCATTGATCAAACTGTGATAACATTTATGAAATTAAATCACATAGCAGTATTTTGCCTTCTAAAATTAGGTATAAAATGTTGTCAGAATTATTTACTTCAACTCACTTTATCAGTCATCTCTTTCCATGAGGGAGGCTGTGGCATAAATGGGAGCAGAAAGGCCTATATTTCAAAGGCTGTTTAATGTCACACTGTTGCATCAGAATTACTTGGAGAGCTGGGCATGGTGGTACCTTCTTGTAATCCCAGCAGCTAGGGAGGCTGAGGCAGGAGCATCAAAGTTCAAAGCCAGATTCAGCAATTCAGTGAGACCCTAAGGAACTTAGACCCCATCCCAAAATAAAAAATAAAAAGGGCACGGGATGCGGCTCAGTGGTTAAGTGCCCCTGGGTTCAATCCATGGTACCAAAACAAAAACCAAAATTAGTTAAAGAGCTTTATTTTATTATTATTATTTTAAATGTAGATATGGAGTTCTAGCCTAGACCTACTGTAGATTCTCTGGGGAAAGGAGTCAGGGACATAGCTTTTAAAAAATGGCTTGGTCAGGGGAAGGTTAGAGAACCAAATTCTAAGACATGGAAATGGGAGGAATTGCTTCAAGTGTCCAGTTTGAGGGCCTTGCTGGGAGGATGTTTGCATTTCAGAAAAGCAGATAACTGGGAACAGGTCAGCTGGTCTCTCTTAGAAATGTTGGTGCCCTCAGATAGGATCCTTTTGTGTATAAGCAACTTGGGTGGGCTGGATAGAGGTGCTGGGGCTGTCTAACTCTACTGCTTCCCTCTCTTCTTGTGCTATTTTTAAGTCTATTTCAGCACAGCTATGCTGAAAGGCCAGGGAAGGGGAGGAATCCACCAAAATCAGTTGGATTTTCGATCCT